GTGTTCTGTTCTTCCTGGGACTGACTCACCTTTTCAGCCCACCTGTTACCCCCAAATCCTTCTACATAGCCCTCTGCAAACTGAATCAAAGGTGGTTCATCTGTCAATGAGGCTGCCCATCCATCTTTCTATCCAGGTGTCTGCCCACCATCAATCTCTGTTTAGAATTAGAATCCTATTTTGTTTTCATTGCTTTGCTGGGAGATGAGGTGGCTAACTCTGTGTCCCTCAGGGCCCAGGGTGGAGGTGTACTGTCTACCTGATTATCTCCTCTCCACCTCCTTTAAGGAGACTGCTGCCCAGACATATTATCTCCTCTCCCCTACCTGGTGCTTCCCATCTTCTGATCATGTCATTTCTTCTTTCTGCCTTCACAACACTAGTTACCACCCACATCCTGGATGGCTGCACTCACACAGATGGCCCATCTAATACCCTAGCTTTTAATTCCTGACCTCATATTCTCCAGTGATTACCTCTTGTACAGTTCTCTCACCACATCCTACCTCGGTAGGTGCCTAAACTTCACCTCCTGAGCCTCTTCCTTCACCACCCAAATGTCTGAACCAACATCTTCTCCGTATGTGTGTGTGTGTGTGTGTGTGTGTATGTGTGACTAAGACCTGACATTTTTGACTTCTCCAGTCCTTTGACCTCTGTCTTTTCTCTGATCATATATCATAACAACCTCATTTTAGTCAAGGCTTTCAATTCCTTTGCTCTTGTGTGCTAGCAATTCCCTCACCTGAGCCTGAATGGACAGCTAAGCCATTGGAGGAAACCATACAGAGGGCCACCAGTCTGTCATGCTGCCTTGCTATCTGGGTGTTTCTCTGGTTCTCACAACCTTCTGTGGTGACTGAATCAGATTTCCTCCACTCTCTTCAAATCTCATACTGGTCCTTGTCCCATCACCGGCCCCCTTAGGTCACAGAGTAAGAAATAATCATGTGGAAAGACTTAATTACCTACACTAATCCTGCATGGTTCAATCTGGCAACCTCCTTTTTCATGTTACAATAGAAAGGGGGTCCCTGATATGAAGCCAGACTTTTAACTTTCATAGTTTGGTTTCATACCCTCCCTTGGGTACAGAAAACTTTACTGTCCATTGTCCTTTTCCTGCTGTACCTTCATTTTCCTCTTCTCAAGGGATCCTACTCTTCACATTCAAATGTACTCAAGTTATTCCATCTTAAGAAATATTAAAAATATGTAAACTAGGATGAACAAGTCCATTGTGCCAGTTTTCTGATTTCAGCCCTCCAATTCTTATACTACATGGTCAATCTCTCAAGAGTTGCCTGTCCTCAGTGCCTTTCATTTCTTCCTCTCATTCTTGTCTACTCCAATTATGTCTTATCCCTTCACTCGATCGGTCCTGCTTTCCCAAGTCCCAGTGACACTAACTTCATTAAACCTAGGGAAAATTATTCAGTCAATTTACAATTAACTGTGGAACCCTCTCTCCAGATATACTGTAGGTTCTAAGAGAAATTTGTGTCTTCAATGTTCACCACTCCAGTGCCAAGCTCTGTACCCCACATCTAGCAAGTGGTCAGAACATACAGTTGAAGCAATGAATAATACATGTCTGCCTGTAAATTCTGATGATAAATCCTGGTCCTAACTAATAGTAGGGACCATTGCCAAGTGGGTGTGGAATCTGGCACTGAGTCATGACACTGAAATTACAGTGTAACTGTTGCTGACACACTCACAACTACACTCATAAATGGCACCATGGAGAGAATGCCCTTTATTTTTAAATTTTAGGGCCTGCCTGGCCTTTGGTAGCTGTGAAGGACAAAAGTTAACTTCCTTGTCCGTTGCCAGCTGACATTGTAGCAGTTCCTTGCTAAAAATGCCTAAGCTGGCAATCCCTGAAAATGTGCCTATGACCAGTGGGATTGCATTTAAAGAGAAGATGCACAGTTAAGAAAATAGCACTTCAATAGCACATAAGAATCTTAGGATGCCAGTTTTCATAACTCACAGGATTTAAAGATCAAAACAGCTGCCTGCAGATACCTTTAGACCAAGGGACAGGTACTCAAGACTATTTTGATATATAATAAAAGAAACAGGTTTCATTTATTTATTAACCCATTAACAATTTACCCCAGTGCTCACTAGGGGAATGAGTTTGTTTACATACTATCTTTTTTTTTTTTGTCTTTTTCAGACAGGGTCTTGATAGGCAGTTCAGGCTGGCCTTGAGCTCACTTTGTAGCCCAGGCTAGACTCTCCTCCTGCCTCAGCCTCCCTAGTGCTGTGTTATCTTGAGCGCATGTCATTTTAACCAGTCAATTTCTGTAATTGTCATTTTTATATTTCCTTTTATAGAATCTTATAAAACTCAATGAAAAAGTATGCAAGTTTTGGTTATTAAATATTTGTACTGAAAAGTGGTTAATTTATACTTTCAGGTAGGGTTCTTAATTTCTAACTTAGTCCCTTAAAATGTCTTATTAGGGGGCTGGGGAGATGGCTCAGTAGGATAAGCGCTTGACTGGCAAACACAAGGATCTGAGTTCAATCCCTGGTTCTGAAAAAAAAAAAAAAAAAAAAAAAAAAAAAAAAAGTCTTATTAGCTTTCTAATGAGAGTAGGAAAGTAACTCAAACTAGGAAAACCCAAAGCCAGTAACAGTAAAGTTTGGCCTCCTTCCTTCTCCTACCCCAATCCCCAAACTATGGTTAACTGGCCATATGAATCCATTCAGATGTCCTTTCAAGGAATATATAAAAGCCAACAAACTGGCCATGGTGGCATACACCTATAATCCCAGCACTCTGGAGACAACGACAGGAGGTTCTCATCGAATTTGAGGTCAGACTGGGCTATATAGCCTAAACTACAGAGTGAGACTGTCTCATAAACCCAAGTCAAACCAAATCAAAACCTATGGAACAAAAAAACAACAACAAAAAAGCCAAACCAAAAAACTAAAAACACACATAATCCATCATGTTTCTCAAACATCAGTTTTAGGAACCTGTGAGCAGCATAAAAGCAGAAAGGTCTTAAGGTCGCAAATCATAACATTTCCAGGTCCACTGACTCAGAATTTCCCTCTCTAGATAGAGGGCCACACCCTTGTGTCTCTGTGCTTCCAGCAACAACCTGCTCTTTTGCTGGAGATTAAAAGTGCAGACAAAGCTGAGCTGATGGTGCATAATCCCAGCACTAGATAGGCTAAGGCATGAGGTTCTCTTCCGAATCCAAGGCCAGCCTGAGTTCCATCCTGGTTGAAGGCCAGTTGAATTACAGTGTGAGGCCCTGTATCAAAAAACAAAAACAGGCTGGGGAAGATAGCTCAGCGGTCTAAGCACCTGCCTGACAAGCTCAAGCACCCAGGCTCGATCCCCGGTACGTCATGCTAGCCCTGGAACCGGGGCACAATGCTGGGACCGAAACTGGGCATGGTGGCACACGCCTGTAATACCAGCGCTGGAGAGGTTGAGCAAGAGTCCGAGCTGCATAGTGAGACCCTGTACCAAATAAATACATGAATAAAGATTTTTTAAAATTTTATAAAAAACAAAAATGTTGGGGCTGGTGACATGGCTCAGTGGTCTGGAGCACCTACTTAGAACAAGCTAAGCTCAAGCAAAGCGCAGAGAC